GGGGGCAGAAAGGGAGTTAATATGTTGTTGAGGGGCCTCAAAAGATAAAAAAAAAAAAACCCAACCCACCTCGTATCATCAAAAGAGACACGTATTGTTAATTGTCCTTCCAGTATTTTTTTTATAAACAGCGACACACATGAACGTTATTGGAGGAAAAAAATCTAGCAAATTTAAAGTGGTGATACGTGGTCAAAGGTTGATAACTCAGTCTAAATGATGGACGAATTTTTTGTTGTTGAAATTATCTCCCCTCGTCTGTTTTACAAACATGTGTGCGATAAAGACACTTGTGTGCCGTGATGGAGGGCGGGGATGCCTTGTCAATTAGTCATTGAATTAAACGGTAATCCCTTTATATAATAAATGCAGGTATATTTACGCCCCCATCGAGACAATGTAGATCATTAAGGAGACAGGCTATCTACTTTGCATGTCAGTGCCAGCCCGGGCTGAGAAGGATACACAATCTCAGCAGAAAGGCCGAGATACTCGATCAAAATGTTGTCCTCACTCGGGAATCGAACTTGGGTTTACTGCATGAGACAGCGAAGCACCTAATCGCTACACAACAGACGCAAGTGGAAGTGGGTGGTTGGCGGGTGCTCTTCTAGTGTGATTTGATCCTTCTTTCCTGTCAAACATCTGCGATAGTGCTCATCTCTCCTTTTTGTGTATGTTACTCTCTTCTAACCCGTTTTAAGGACTTGTATGACCTGATTGTGTTTGCTGGTGCGGTAAAACTCATACTATCTATCTATCTATCTATCTATCTATCTATCTATCTATCTATCTATCTATCTATCTATCTAGCTAGCTAGCTAGCTATAAAAGAAACAAGTTGCTACCTCAGAAGTAAAACGTTCTATCTGCTCAGTGCCAAGTTTTGAGACATTTGACGGCAAAGATTTTGAGTTTCACATCATGTCAATCTTTTCAAATGCAATTCTTTGAATATCTTGATAGCAACTCCGAAAGATCTTATGCGTTTGACAGAGCAGATTGATAGAGCGTTTGTTTTCTGACCTCGTGGTCTTATAGTAACTCAAAACGGTCCAAAGTGTCAGATGGAACTTTGTAACTCTGAGGTAGCGACGTGTTGACAGGGGGCTCTCGTGGCCTAGAGGTTAAGGTGTTCGCCTCTCTTTCAATAGGTCCCGGGTTCGAGTCCGGATATAGACCGAAAATTTTTCTACTCTAAAATTGTCTCCTTTCACCTTCTTTTCCTGGTCTCTAGCAATATATTTCTGTCGTCTGCTTTCGTCTCCACTTCTCTGCACCCACCCTCTTACCGCCTTTGCCCCCTCCTCTGGGCTCCTGACTCTTTCTGCAGTCTTTCTACCCGCTACTCTGTGGCTCTTTCTTACTGCTGTCTTTCAGCAACACCCCTGATCTTCTGGTAGAAAATATTTACACCTAGCCTACTCTCACAAGGGCGAACAATCTTGGAGGTCCCATGTGCAAGTTGTGCACGTTAAAGATCCCATGGTGATCTAAAATCGATAAGAGTAGGCTTCGGCGCCACCAGGGCAAAATTCAAAATTTTCTACCAACTGAAAATGTTGAATGTGTCCCGCGCGCTCATATGACCTTATGCAGTTGCGAGCGCC